GCTGCTTAAAAAGGTGTCGGGATCGATAAGATTCGTCTGGAAACATGAAAATGTTCTCAGTCTAGTGAGCTGCGTTTAGAGGCGTTGAGTTATAGACAACCTCTTTCAAGAGAGATTCGTGAACATTGGAAAGCATGTTGCGCGATTGCATTGTTTCGTTTGTGCTCAGTGATATTGTCAGCACAGGGTGACCCCCCCCCCCCAAAAAAAAAATGCAACCCTGAAACATTTGCCTTTGTTCATAAACGTGATAGGTAATTTGTATGTGTTGGATATCAGATTAAAGGCTGAGAGCTTCGTCTTTCAAATACTGAAAAAAAATTATGAAAACAGCAATGCCAATTATGTAAAAGAAGTGATTTTTTTGTGGTGCTTCAAACAGTGAAACATGTAACTGTAAGCCCACTGTGCAATTGTTTTTCATTTGTGCAATTTCTTTAATATATTGACATATTTATTTTTGGGGGTCACTACGTTGAGCAAATGCCGTGTTTAGATTTCTAACCGAAATGTATTTTTTTTTAAGCTTTGTTTTTCAACATTAAAGTGACTCACATTCTGCCGAACTAGAATTATTTCCTCTATGCTTCGCCATTTTAATTAGTGATTAGACTACTTCTTCCTTAAGTTGAATTCGGTGGGGTTTTTATCGCCAACAAAATTTAAAATCCCTTCCCGGCGCTGATTGTCCAAGTCCCGGTAGACGCCTCGTCTTTGACCAGGGGTACAGAAAGCCCGAAAGGAACCAGTTATCTAGCGGCATTCTTTGACATTTTTTAGTCTTCCCTATTCCATAAAGTAACACCGTATAAACACACAGACGTATATGGTGTAAAACGAGGTCATCTCATTGTCCTTTCGTTTGTCACTAACCCCTTGAACATTTTGCAGCACCTCCCGGTGGTTTTGTACACGTTTTTCTTTCAGAGGACTGTCCTTACTTGGGTACATGTCCTCTATCAGAAATGATGTGTCCTCGTTTGTATTTTACCATAAATGCGTGCCAAAACATACTGTGCGTGTGGCCTTTGTTCGAGTCGGCCGGAGGCGTTGTCGGGTTATTAACCTCCAGACGACACGTTACTTCTTACGCACAACAAACGGCATTTAACAGCTTTTGCAAATGCACCACTGACAGGCTTTTTGTTAATTGCCGTCCCGCCTGCGTCAGAAAAGGGCACGGTTACTGTAAAACAGACGTGTTGACAGAACTGTGAAACAAAATAGACACAGCCGTATTGAGAGCCTTTTTTTCTGTAATCAACATGTACATTCATTGTGTCCCTGTGTCTTGAACAAAGGTGCTGCACAGGCCATTTTAATTATTTTGATTTGTATGAAATCGGTACAGTTACATTACGCTAGAAATAAGCGCCATATGCGCAACAGTTATATTTTGAGGGTATAATTCTGTCGGTTGTTAACTAAAAGTGGAGTATAGAGTATTTCAAGTATAGGCCTTCCATTTTGACTTCTCAGTTTCAGCTGGTGATCACACACAAAAACAGAAATTCTCCTATATTGAAAACCAACTTTTCAAAAAAGAAAATCCCCTTTTCAGTGGCAAGTTACGCAGAGCAGAACTCATCAAAAGTCAAATGTTTATAAAGGGCCAACAAGTTTGGGTCCGGGTGCACAAACCCTTTCCGGACGAATGTCAAACATGAAAAATCACTGGCTGACGCGTCCCTCAAATCACGCTATCATTCAAGAAATTAAGAACACGTTTTATGGTAAATAAAGTAGTCCATTTTGTTATATTTATTTATTAGAGTCATGTAATAGCATATACAATGCATAATGCGGTCAATCAGTGATCTAATCAATCAAATGAAGGAGCCATAGGAAGCTAAACAGATTTATACATTTTTAAAATATAAACTATGCAGTTAGGCAAGGACGGGGCATTCCACAGGAGACGTATGTAAATACGAAGCAAAGACAGCCGCTCTAATGGTTCCCTCAGGTAGCGAAAGCATTCGTCCAAGGATGATATTGGCCCAATTAGTAATACCCTAACGTGTATCATGACCGAAGGCCGCGGCAAGGTACGGACATTATCATATCTCATTATTTCGTCCCGACAATTGTCATCAGTTAATATTACTCGGCTCACCTCGAGTGTCCTTCACGATTGTATCCAATTCAATAAATGCTTCATTTCGACGAGGATCGTCGCTGCCTTTGTTACACGCGTTACTAATTTATTGTCAACCGTTAATGGATTAATACAAATGCTATACGAGCACTGCTTGAAAACGACTCTCTTAAAAATTTCCTGGTCGCGTTTGACCCCGAAATCCGGGTCAAATTTGACATGATACTTTTCAGGGTCCGTATGACAGATTACCAGGGTCAGAATGACACTTATGCTAAAGTGTCCGGGTCAAATTGACTCGTTAACTTTGTATTACCAAAAAACTTTGCATGCAAATTGACCAATCGACAATTTAGTCCACATTTCTGATACAAATGACGTCACATTTTCTTAAGTCTTTGTATTACCAAAAAATATTGCATGCAAATTGACCAATCGACAATTTAGTCCACATTTCTGATAAAAATTACGTCACATTTTCTTAAGTCGGCTCCTTGGCTGGAACGCGGGTCACATAAAATTTGCATCGTGTAGGATGTATCAGACGTTTGTAGTGTGGTTCTGCACACGTGAATGTCTGATCCTCACGGACTAGTCCCGGATCACGTTTGACCCCAAAATCCGGGTCATATTCGACCTGACACTTTTCCAGGTCAAAATGACAATTCTGCCAAAGTTTCTGAGTCAAATTGACCATACAAGGAAACCCTTGGCAATAGTATCACAAGTGTCAGGTTTCCGGGTAAAATGGACTCACCATGCACTGGCATAAGTGTCATTTTGACCCGAAAAGGTTAATGTTGACCCTGATTTGGCCCGGATACTTTTCATGGTCCATGTGACACTTTTCCCGGTCAATATGACACCTATGCCAAAGTTTCCGGGTCAAATAGGAAACCCTGGCACAAGGAACCATTGGCAAAAGTAACGGCATAAGTGTCAAATTGACCATGATTTTGATCAAACCCCCAACCCGATTTTATTTTTTAGTGTTCGGGAATTTATATCCAATGCTGTGAAAAACGGATTAATGCCGCGATGCCTAAGAAAAGGCAGACGACATAGACCTTTTGCACCAAGGGCGGGGTTAGCGGGTAGGGGTTTTGTATCGCTTTAATAGACATGAGTAAGCATGTTGTGCCTTCAAATTAAATAAAAAGGACACCCTCTGAGATATGTCACACGTGTTCTAGGTCAAAAGCATGCAATATTACAATTGAGGCGCAACTTGATACATTTTTAAATTAATTTGTGCGGTTTCTAATTATCTTTGTCCTTCATTCATGTTTGAATAAAATGCTCATTCCATTTATAATTACACACGAACGTGTTGTGTGATTATCTTGTCATTCGCATTCGCGTGGAGTATGAACCGTGCTGTATGCGGCCAGAACGCACACGTTCGTTCCTCGTGAAATCACGAATGTCATCTTTAGAGCGCGAAATTTGAACCTGTCAAAACTCACTAGGGCCTAATCTAAAAACCAGTTACATATCTGAGAACACTTGATCGTAGCCCGGTTCATACTTCATGCGAAAGCGAATGCGAAGCGAAGTTGTTGACGTCAACTCATGAAACAATCGCTTCGAAATTCGCCCGAGTTGAAATGTGTTCTCAACTGTTACGAATTCGCAGCGCGAATACTTGTCATGACGTCACAAATTCGCGTTCGCTTTCGTTTTCGCGCCGAGTATGACGGAACCGGAAACTCGGACAGCTCCATGGACGGTTTAAATGTATAGTGAACGCGCACTCATGGATATGTCATTAAAAAAAGAGTTGTATTTGTTTTGCAAACAACATAAAGCGTGGGCTGTTAAAATGGTACACAATCACAGTGTTATTACGCATGACTGACATAATTAGTTTAACCCAATGGTGCCCATACGTGTTAACAACGGTCCTAGGCAGCACCCACCTTTATATGAATAAGTCAAATTTGGACGCCGTTTTTGATTAACCCCCAGTGCGCCATTGTGGAAACATTCTATGGGGCTTCCTTAAATAGAACAAAATTTATGTAAGATTACGTAACAGGTTCCCTGCCGACTGGGCGCCCAGGCCCAAAGTACAGCGCTCCCTGTCAAATGGAATTTGTTATGAGTGTTTGCCTTGTAAACCAGTGGAATTTTTTTAGACCATTCACATAGCTTTAAGTAGAGCTAACCCAGTAACCATTTACATGTACCCATGTTTTTCTCGAGCGATTGTGAAATTGTCCGGGAGACTGTATTATAACACGTAAGACCAGTGGATTAGAGCGTGGAGCTAAAACGGATTAGTCCGTTTGCTCTATGGTCTATGTACAGTACAGGTCCCTGATACATTAGTACAATTATTCCTACAGTGTTGCATGATGTTGCATCCTATGTAAATTACATAACTGGATCATCATGGTCTCGATGTCTGAAATAATTGTCCGTTTACCAAAAACGGGAGTTAACTTAAAACACTATTTGCCCGCTGTATATCTCCAGAGACTTGAAGTTGAACATGTGTCCTAAAGATGGTCATTCATTAATGTAACTTTTCATTTCACTGTAACTTTTGATTGTATTCTTTGTTTTGTTTGGCAATTGTATTAAAAAAACACCGGTGAACTAGGTTTTACTAGTGGCATGGTCCCTAGATGACGCTTCCTTGTACAATTTATTGGAGTGGAATAATTAATGTGCGGTGGAGGAATTTAGACAGCCCAGCTGTTCGATATTATCGTCATTTGTCCATCATTTTTTGTGTCTTGTAAAATTTGCCAATGAATTTCTAGTTCTGGCTCATGATTTTCGCACGTTTTTTCGGCTTCAGCTCAGATTTGTTTATTGTTGTTCACGATGCATGTATAATGACCAAATGCATGGCTTGTTTTGTTTTTTTTTGTTTATGGAGTTTTCTATTCAGCGGAAGTGACCAGCATGACCATGCATTATCGATGGACAGAGCGTGGCCGGCAGGACACTGCTGCCCGTAGCACGCCGGCGGACCTTTATGCCTTGCTTCTTCGGTGACCATGGCCCGGCCAATTACGTGTGTGGACATAGCTGGCTGTATCAATTGTGAAACACAATTGCATATGTACAAAATGTACCAGTATTTACATGTACATGTGCATGTACATGTCCTGTGGACCAGTGGTCAATAGTGCTCACGTCACGCCGCTATGGACATTCAGGACCCCGCTGCGCATTATTACTACGCGGCCTTGCTTCGGCCGTTGCGTAGGATATGAGTCAAGCGGAGCCGTTCCCGTCAGCAGAAAAGCCGAGATGAAATCATGAAATGGCCAAGATATCAGCACATTTTGCAACCTATTTGGTGGAAGTGAATTTGCATTTACCACCATGTTGGAGTTTATACGAGGAAACGTCAAGAGAGGATTGAGCTACTGTTGAGTTTGTCAGAATGTATCATACACGTTGTTGGTGAAAACAGCGAGCCAGCGAGGCGAAGGGAAATTGGCTACCGGCCAGTGCCCTCTGAAAGTCGGCCCGCTGCATGCTTGGGTCCATCCCTTGTCCGGCACCTTTCATTGTTAATCCAACAGTGGACCGCGGTATCAATTCCCCTCTTCGCTGCTGATTGTAATTCAAATGATTGCGTGTGGGATTCGCTTCCATATATTGACTGCACCAAGAAAAGTGAAAGGACCCCCAAATGGGGTGTCTCCTGATCCCCTGCCGGCCCCAAACGTAGCATAAAGTCAGGCGGGACAATGAGGCGAAGACCCTGAGACGGAGGGCCTGATGAATAACTTGGTGTTATTCCAACTCAACCGTGGAGGGATTTAGTCCGGTTATCGATCCAGTGGTGGATGAGCCAATGAATAGGAGAATGGGGGTCGATTGATCAGAAGACGGCCTCTGGGAGTTGAGAAACAACTCGACCACATCGCGGAAACAGACAACGGACCGTTAGTACCGTTATTATGTGGGGTTGTCTTTTTACATGCAGCTAGAGTTAACCTTACTGGATGTGGTACGGTGTACGCGGAACTTCACCGAGCGAGGGATGGACTGTGCATGCGGATGTCCCAAACGGTATGGCCCAAGCTGTTCCTGACGCAGAACTGGGGTGGATCACCCCGGATTTAGCGACTCTTGCCATCACCAACACGACCGACCAGCTACCAACGGATGCTGCTCTCTACGCGCCACCGTACCCGTTGTGGGCCAGCGTCTTGATCGCTCTTCTCATCGGGATTATTATCATCCTGATCCTCTTCGGCAACGTCTTGGTGATCCTGTCTGTCTGCTTGGATCGTCGGCTCCGTAAGCCGCCCAACATCCTCATCATCAACTTGGCCGTCTCCGATATGGCCGTGGCCGTGTTGGATATGCCGTTTGCGGCAGCTTTCGAGCTCAAGGGGGAGTGGGCGTGGGGCCCCGCCGTCTGTGACATGTGGATATCTTGTGATGTGGTGGTCTGTACAGCCTCCATTATGACCCTCTGTATGATCAGTGTGGATCGCTACATGGCCATTACCAGGCCCCTGACATACGTGAATAAGCGTACCCCGCGCCTTATGCTGATCTTCATACTAATCGTGTGGGTCACCAGTGCCTTCATAGGACTCCAACCGCTCTTCATTTGGGGAGGCAACGAGCACGAGAACAAGACCTGCTTGGTATCTCAGGACCCTTACTTCACGGTTGTTTCGACCTTCGGAGCGTTCTACCTCCCCCTGACGGTCATGCTGCTGGTCTACGCTCAGATTTACCGGGCAGCCCGCAAGAGCGAGATGGCCGACCTGAAACAGAGACACCGCAGCGTTATGCTCAAACTGGAAGTCGTGAAGCCCGAGCCGTGCACCACCACCAGTAACAGGAGTCAGTCTGTGGATTCGACCGCGGCTCACTCCAGCAGCTCTTGCGATGACAACAACACAACTAGCTCGCCTAGATCCCAAGAGAGAAGACCCTCGGTGACCAGGGTGGCAGAATTCCTCTTGGGACGGACCAGGTTTTCATCGGGGTCCATCAAACAGGGCCCGAGGCGGATTTCACTCAAACGCGAGCGGAAGGCGGCCAAGACCCTCGGCGTCATCATGGGCGCTTTCATCTTCTGCTGGCTGCCGTTCTTCATCGTGGCTCTGGTGCGGCCTTACTGCAACTGCGAGATCCCCCCGCTGCTCAACTCGTTCCTGCTCTTCCTGGGTTTCACCAACTCCCTCCTCAACCCCATCATCTACCCGTTCTTCAACAAGGACTTCGTGCCCACCTACCGCCGGATGCTGAGCTGCCGTTGCCTCAGGAAGGACCCCGGCGGGAATTTCTATCGGCGACGGGTGACTTTCCGACAAGTGTCGCTTCCCATGAACGGGCATCACGACGACGAGGAGCTCAGCTCCGATGAGGATGACGATGACGAGTCCGCCGGCCGGCATCCGGGAATGGTGCACTTTGCCCCCCACACCGAGACTGGGAAAATGGTGACGGAACTGAACGGGAATTTAGACAGGGAACTTGGCGAAGGCCGCCCGCACCATCTCTGAAACTGCGGCACGAAATCAAGATTGGATTATAGAATATTGTAGTTGAAATGGCAGGGCACATTAATAACTCGAAGGCAATGGTGTCACAATGTAAAGAATAATACACATTCATTAAACTGGGCCTAAGTTATTCAAGAAGATCATGCAAAGCTTGAATTTCCTCGTTTAAATACCCTTGGATATTTCCAGAGAGCTTGAAAAGTTAAAGCAATGTCTGAATTGCGAAGCAGTTTTGTTCCGTAGCTTCCTGGCAAATAATAACCTACAGTGTTATCAACAAAAACCCAACTTTTTAAAGGATTGGTACATACATATTGAGATAGGAGACTATTATTTTCATGTTCGACGTTTCTGGTGTTCTGATATTTGGTTCAGAAACAAAAAAGCCATTACATTTTCAAAAAAACTCATCAAATTGTTTGCTACTTTCAAATTCACCATTCGCCTGCTTTTATTCAGTGGCTCCGGTGTATTTGGCGCCTGGGCAGCAGATGCCCTCGCCTCATTACTTCGGACTTATCTTCCCGAGGGGAAACAGACGATCGATTAAGACTCTTAAAGAAAATCCGAATCGGGAATGCAGCTAAGGGTCTTACCCATACAGATCAACTAAAGCTGCGTGCTATGTTTGCTTATGTGTCGGGATTAGCGCTTGGCCCACAAACGAACTGTCTTGTGAGCTAACATGTTTCTGCTGGAAATCGATTATAGGCCTATCTAGTATCTACGCAATTTTGACTGACGTTACGGTTTGTCAAATTTCCATATTTTTTTAGTTCTACATATGGAGCGGGATTTGATATGGACTACGGACCATGTTTTAAAATCACTCATACATATTTTTTAATCACTCATACACTGCCTTAATGTAATAGCCTATGGTGAACAAAATGTGTTTCAGAAAAACCAAGATGGCGCCACCCTTGGAAACCAAGATGGCGGCACGCTTGGAAACCAAGATGGCTGCACCCTTGGAAACCAATGTGCACACAGGTTTTGCTTATTCTTACGAGATCTACGCACTTTCTTAATACCGTTTTTTTATCCTACGATGGTGTTTTTAATTATAATACCTTACACCGTAGGGTTTGAGATAATTACACAGGACTGATGTTATGCACAATTATTGTTTCGTGTTGTAACAACGTTTATACCCAGCAAGGGACGTGCAATATAGTTTTCTGAATTATGTTTACGCATTGTCGATTGATTCTGTACACATTACAACAACAACAACAACAGTATTGAGCAGTAAGGTCGCTGCTTGGCATTCTTTACAGTTTCTTGAATATGAAAGGGTAATTTCACAGCAGCAGTTACTACTCTATGCTTACATAACCTTTAATGTGTTGCATTGTACGTTGGTTTTAGTGTCATACATGCTGGTGTTGGTGATTATAATATGTTGTCATCCCTTATGCACGGGTCTTCGTCTATGTTACTTTGCATACCGTTGAAAGGTACAAGGCCTATACAACATTTGCAAACATTAAAAACTGCCAATTTATTATGAAATACCTTACTTGACTGTAAGTGAATAATAGTCTCTAGCATCCTGTGAATTATATGAAATCATGGCACCTGGTGTGCTGTCTTTTTTCGAGAAAAGTGGAATTTTTGTATCGGCCGACCATTGTTGAAAAAAAAGCCGGACTGCTTTTAAACACTGCCCCCAATGTACCAAATGTACACCATTTGTTTGTAATCTGAACGGCTGCAAGCCAGCTATAGTCTTGTTCCCTGACCTGTCAATTCCCTGACGCTATCATTCAAAGGCTCCATTTCGTCTGATGGAGGGTCAGGGAACCAGACTACAAGAACAGCATTGTTTTCTTGGGGTTTTTTTTCAAGCATCTACGAACACGAAACTCAAGTTAAAGAGGTCAGTGTAAGAATATTTGCTATAAAATACTAACCCCCTAAATTCATCCATTTCTGAAAATTACAGGAAAAAAAGCAAACATTGTATAGGCCTATTACCTTTTAAGACCAGGGTTTGGTCTCGTGGAACTGTTAAGCACAGAAAGTATTTTGCTTACCATCAACCGCATATTGGTTTGGTTTCACCTGAATCATGCTAAGCACGTACATTCATTTGCCAAGCACGAACCCCAAATGATCACAGAAACCGAAGTTATCGGTGCTAAGCCATTGAACACGGTGAGTCAAAAAAAAAGCGGATCCCAAACCCAAAGAAATATATTTCATATTTAAAAAAATGTGTGGCACCAAAAATAACTGTGACTGGTATAAGCCATTTTTATAAACTACTTTTATTAGACGAAAAAAATTACCTCAATTGCTCAATCCCTTCAAAATAAACGAAATGACCCTGAAATCTGTTTCGTCCAAAAAAAATGCAATTTCAAGAATTGTCGTTAAAATTGTCTCCAAACCTCACCAGCGATAATACCTCAGTTTAAAAGTTAAAAATAGTCAACAAAGTCCTTTTGAAGGCCCGTCTTTTTAAAATAGAAATTGGATTTTATAAATCCTATTGTAAGCAAAAGCAGGGTTGTCAATAAAGATACAGTTATGTATTGTGTAGCCTACTATACAGTTGTTGAAACAAGTATTCGGTGTCATTTTCTTTGTTGTTCCGAACATTCAGAACATACAATAAATTGGGTTTCTTTCGAGGTACTGATTTTAGGGTTACTTCGTTTAAATAGTGATACAATTTTAACGTGTAGAGCATTTGAAATAATTTTCTCACTTAGAAGTAGTTTAAAAAATGGGCTTCCAAGTCATAATTGTTGTTGGTGCTACATATTTTTATTAAATATGAAATATATTTCTCTGGGTTTGGGTTCCATTTTTTTTTTACTCACCCTGTATGAAATGAGGACCGTTTTTATCGTCTCAGCTCTCAACACAAGACAGCTCTGAGGCCCTGATCGCCCTCAGTACCAATTTGAATTTTTTCTGTATTTTCTGCTCATCGGTGTCGTGGATTCAAAGCCAAACTATCTTTTTCTTTCAAAGGGAATGTACAATATTTGCTTTTGCTGCAATTTTCAGAAAGAAATGGATTTGGAGAATTAGTATGTTATAGCAAATATTGTTAAACTAACTTGTTTCACGTTTTGGGCTTGCAAATGCTGGAAAAACCAAGAAAACCAATCATGTTCCTGTAGTCTGGTTCTCTAACCCCTCTTAAGATTAAACGGAGAAATGTAAAGACTTTGGGGAATTGTAAGGTCAAAGAATTACTCTAGCAGGCGTGTACCCCTTCACAAGTGTGTAATCAATTGCAAGGAAAATTCGGAATAACGAAATGAAAAAATAGGAGCAGTTTTTGAAAAAGCCAGTTTTTCTTGAAAATGTCAGCACACCAGGAGCCACAATTTTACAGGATGCTTTAGACTGTCAATCCCTAACAATTCAGTAAGGTATTTCGTGATAATTTGATCATTTCCTTTTTTTGATGTTTGCAAATGTTGTATCTTCCCTTTAAGAAAGGCTGCCGTTTGAACGTATTTTGTATGTCTTCGGGTTTTTATGCCAGTTGGTCTGAGGAAACATGTAATAAAGTGAAACAAATCTGTAAATACTGAATGTCAGTATGCTTAAAATATTTATCGTTTTGAAGAAAAATATGAATATGTTACTAACAATATATTTGAAAAAAGGACATATTGTATTTTGTTTCATTGTGTTGTTGGGCAAGCAGAGGTTCTTGCCTTTTGGGGAAGTTGAAATTCGGTATTACAATGAAGCTTGTCATTTTTATATGACCGCTAATATGATATAGGATATGTTGATGGCATTAAAGTGGCCATGCAGTGGATTTTTACACTAACACCGTACTTTGGGTCAAATATCAAATGAATCTTTTGTTGAGTTATTTTCAAACAACGGTTTGTCCAAAGTACAGACCTTTCAAACGGCGGTTTTTCACCATTCGTGAAGTCCACGCCATTCTCAACGACTGAGAGCGCATGTTATTACTTTTATTCACTTTAGGCAAACCGCTGAATTGTTTAAAAGGATTTTCTGTTCAACAAAATGAATTCAAAAAATTGCTCATTGAAAAAAAATTGTGCATAACTCCACGAATGATTGTCAAATAATATATAAACAAAAATAAACAACATCGGAATCGAGAATTGACTACTGCGGAAAACCAAAAAAAAAAGTTGCAGTTTTTTTCGTTCGTTATGCTGAAGCAGGTAACTCTGAAGCTTATGTCTAAGGTGACATCACTAGTTTGCTCATGAATATGGAAATTTTAATTGGCAGAAAAGACCATAAAGCAGCCTGAGAAATGACAATATGAAGGCTGGTAAATGTAACTAATATAGGTGACTCGGACTTAAAAAGATGTAAGGGACTTTAGTTTATTTATATTTTTAAATCCAAAACATTGCCCTTTAACAATTCATGTTCAGACGTGCTTGTCACTCAAAGGGCCATCACCGTTGATGAAATTTTTTTATGTAATCGAGTCCCAGTTTTGACTCAAGGTCTCGTCGGAATTTTGACTCCTCACGGCCGCATAGATCTCGCACTATTATCGGCCCAAATTACAAACACCCGCGCCAGCCAATTATCCATACCGCTCAATCAATCCCGGAAGCTCTGAAAAACTGCTAAATTACAAGTCGATCACAACTATCTATACCGCAGTTGTCTCGGAATTGCATCTCTCACTTTATCTCATTTGAGCCGATGACGTGCGCGTATCAACTGACGTAATTGTAAACGGAAATTTCATTTTGTCACAACTTGGGCCTCTTTAATAGTAGAAAAGGCAATCAAATGACGCTTCGCCAACATGACTGTGTGCTTGCGTAGAGATAATTATATCCGGAAAAATTGTGGGTTTTTTTTGTTGTAGAGAAAGTTAAAGGTGCTCTACCAATGCTCCTCAACACATTCGATAGTTTTTTTTTTCTCAACGATTTTTCCTACTGTTTTTCTATTATTTTTTTCAAAGATGGAACAAAGACATTGTCTAGAGCGGAGTTTGAACCTGCGACCCCCGGATTACCGTTCCGGTTCTCTACCAACTGAGCTATCTAGCGTTATGTTGGCGGTTTACAAATTTGTCAGTGTCTTTGTTCAATGGGCGCTAGTCAGAAGCCATAAACCCATATCTATATGCCATGCAACCAGGGACCACGCCCAAAGTCACGATGCAAGCATGCAACTTTTGCGTGAAGTCTCCTTTAATATAGTAAATAACCTTTGAATTGCTATAGGAAAATTGCAATTTAAGAAGCACAATCGGATGAGACCCGAAACTAGCACGGGAGGGCAACTTTAATTTGTCAGATTCATAACCGCATCACCGAAAAAAATTATGTCGATGGCAATTTGAACTAATTGGGATGCCTGTACCGGGACCTTAAATATGCAGTCTGATAGAATAAAAGCCTCTAGCTTATTACCGGTTTGTCGTATAATGGGTGACTTGATGTGACATCTAGAGTGGGATATCAAGTCACCGTGCTGCAGGAGACAGAGCATTATAATCCACTTTAATCCACTGCACATTGCCAATTAGCGCCTCTGGATGCCGCAAAACCGCACCATTATCATGGCAAGCTGCCAGCGTGTTTAACAACACCAGATTCACTGATCGAGCACCGCACTCCCGCCAGTAACGCGGATTACTTGTGGCAGAGAAAAAAACACCCAGCCATGCAACTTATAAATGAGATGAATCCTTAGCTTAAAACCCTTTCCGGCAAGACGTGACCACGGCGACATTTTCGCTCTTTATTCTCGGTGTTTTCTTTTAGACAAAAAGTAGGCTAAACCAAACCTCGGCACTATAATGGACATATTCTCCGTGTACAGTAAAGTTTGGATTGGTTGACAAACCAAAAGAATGTTGTTTTTTTTATCACTAAAAAGGCTTTTGGGTTTTGTTGTTTTCAAGAGTTGCTCTCGGATGATCAGTGCTAAATTTGGCAGAAACTTTCCCCGGGCGCTACATATACAGCTCGCCGATGTTTACATTGCTGTGTGTACTCAGTTTACCGTGCTTTTGTTTGAGCATTGTATTTACCTACGACTAGCCTATTGTTGAATAAGGAGGGTGTACTATACCCCACCATAACCCGTCATGAATAGTGTGTTCCCTTTTTGCTTGTTCCCTTTCTGCTTGCCCACGATTAACAGTCGGCGGAATTGCGGTCCCAACACACGTTTTTGTGAGGGTTATGACGGCATTTATACCTGGTCTATATACTGTCTTGTGAAACGAACGAGAAACAGACGCCACTGCAACGTCTTCATTCATTGTATACCGTTAAAAACAAACATCACCCTGTCAAATAGGAACCAGGAGACCGACTGAAAGTACGAGGCCTATTTACAGGTGTTGTGGTCGAGATCTGAAAAGTGTAGGCTAGATGTCAGAAAAATACCGTGGCGCATACTATCACCAATAACATGTCCGGACAGAGCATATCTCCACGGTCGAATCTAGCTTTTAGCGGGGGTGGGGGTGGGGGTGTTGGGTGTTGAGTGAAGGTGTGCCGAAGTCACATCTTGCTAGGAGGCTTCGGAGGCACGCCCTCAGAAAATTCACCTACAACGCTTTCTCCGGCATTGTAAGGCTTTTTTGAGAATAAATTTAGGAAATTTAGCATCTAATTTGTTATTTTGGGCCCCAATTTACTTGTATCATATAACATTAGTAAGCGGCGGAACGTAATTTAATCCAGCGGAAACCGCCAACACTACGCGGTTCGCCCTATATACTATAGTATCTCCACAACCAAACATTTTCAAAATTAACTTTGCGGTTTTGTAGTTATTTTAAAAACAGTCAGACGGGCACTGGGGGGGGGGGGGGGAGAAATGTGCTTTGCCCCCCGGAAAAGCCCATGATTCAGATTCAGCTCTTCGTTTGTTCTTATCAAGCCAGAATTCCGGATTGACACTCCATTGCTAATTACAATAAATATGCAACTATTTTTCAACTACTGCTCCAAATTTACAATTTTTTTCCAGACCAGACCACTTAAACATTTTTGTTTTTCTTGGTTTTTCAAGTATTTTCGAACACAAAACTTCAAACATGTCAGTTAAACAATATTTGATCTATTATACTAACCCCTCAAATAGTTCATTTCTGAAAATTACAGCAAAAGCCAATGATGTACATTCCCCCTAACTATAAGGGACAGTATTATTTGTATCCTATCGACTCTCCTTTTGTGTTCAAAATAATTGGCGCCATTCCGTGTGGCCTCTTTTCATCCATTACATGTAGTAATTTGAATTATTTCGCTATTTCCGTTGTGCATATTAATTTCCAGCGAATGTCACCGAAGCCAGGGTAAACCTCAACAAGTTGTACAACGAAGCGGAAAAACCATGGTTGAAATATACTGATAACGATTTACACTGACAGGCATGGTCAAAATAGATCCATTAGGCATTGCATTTGAGCTACGGTGGCCTTGCATCGCCATTAGTAAGGTTATAATAGATGTATTTTTTGGCGGGGGGGTATATTAATCACTCTATACTACTTCATCTTAATCATAATATCTGTTACGTTATGGTTCGGTTTAACCAGTTTTACCTTGTCAAATAAATGACCCTACGTTCTAC